TAGGCGTGGTCGTGCGCAGATGAGGTGAATACATACACCTCATCTACTATTGGCAATACTAATTTCTGTTCATGACCCCAGCCCAACTGACAGCTAATTAGCCTACACAAATATAATTGCCCCTCCAACCCCACTGACAGTTAATTGCCCTCCTCCTCCACTCCCTTTGTCGATTGCTGTTTCTAACCCCTTGAAGACCTGACGATTTCTGACAGTTGATTGGCCTATTGCCACTATAATTACCCTTTTTTGGTTGCTTTCTCACCTCTGAAGACGGACACCTGGAAGTGTTCGAAACTCAGAACAATCAATCGATTGATCTGGTGCTCGAACCGCCTTCTTCCTCATCCACTTTAAATAGAATTCTCGATGGTTGCTAAGCCCTCAGTAAAATTTTTCTGATTTATCCGACGGTCGCCTCTAAGGAGTCGAATAAAAAACCGAAAGTAACATCAATTTATGATTGTGTTCAAGTATATACCGTGTTACACTGCTCACTTTCTGAAATTGTATACGCCGGGTCTGTCTGCATACACCGAACTTATAGCCAGTGACTCACAAACGTACAGTACACTTTCAAGTATCAAAATCGAAAACGAATATTTTTACTTACCTATTTATACAAACACTTGTTAGGCAAACGCACCTTTCTATTGGAAGTAAAATGACAAAAAATAATTTCAGACGTCACATTTCTGAAAATACGGGTCTGAGCCACACTTATATTACATTTGTGTATGCAGAAGGCGTTCCAACTGCTACATGCGGTTATATCATTCGGAGGACTGAGAGCTTACATCCCGCACAAATTTCCTACGGTGTAACTGACAGCGCAGACAACAAGGAATATTGAAGGACACCCGGAGTTTTACCCTCCTACGGCTGAACATGCCCCACAAGATCTGAAAATCTTTCGCGCAATATCTACATGCACAATGAAATTTCTCACAAACTGAAATGACAGTCTTTTAGGACAGTCTAACGTGTAAGGGCGAGGGCGCACTAAGGTAAGTCGCGAATATTGAAAATGAACGCCGATGACATCCAATGTCAGTCAAAATGTTGGCAATGCCAGTCGACCTTTAGAGAGTCGATAGAAATTCAGATATTCAACATTGAGCCCTCACATCCTCCACACAGATATTACGACAACTCGTGTGCTTAATCGCGAAAGATCAACAGAAGATAATTCGGTACACACGAACACCATCATGATATCACATTTCCTATGAGCTTACTTACAAGCTAAAAACCATACTGCCTTGCTTTCCTATGCGAAGTTATTGGTTTAGCAGAGACCCGTTAGCGAAATGCGAGGTAGCGCATGCATAGATTAAACGCCACGTCAACTACTAAACTCATCCGTAAGGATATTGATGTTCACTAGCCTCGGAGTTGCACAGCATTCAGTCATTCTGGAAAGAGAGTCACACCCAAATCACGTATTGCTGATGTAGGCTTGACAACAATCTCCTCTCGTGTGCACCAATGAGATTTTTAAAAGCATGCGTCTAGTTTTTAGATTGCGCCGTATTTCTCCTTTTTTTAGGCTCGTTTTTGAAGTATACCACAGGGTTAAAATGCATAACTAAAATGAGATGCTTCTGAGTGAATCCTTCTTAATAGTAGCAAGGAGTGCATACGTTTGCTTTAATAGAAAATGCGAGGCAAGGAGATTTGAAGCCTTGGAGGCAAATACAATGACGAGAAGATATCAAAATTATTTACTTAATGCATACCCTTCTTTTAAATGGAACACATCTTTTTTTCAAAAAGGTATTTTAAGTGAGATGCGCGTAGCTACGAATATCTAAGGTCCAGAGGAAAAATGTCATTCGCCCTTTTTTATTGTGTGGTTCCTTTTCCGGACGTAGCAAAACACATTCAGCAGCGTCGCATACTTTATTTGTAGTTTATTCTGCGTGATACGAACCTCACGGTCAACTAAAGTAAAGCTACCTAACCTCAGTCACAGGCCAGAATCGCGG